CGAAGTCAAGACAAATTATTCTCCCCCGCCCACCCGTCCGTCCGTCGGTGGCTCGCGGTGTCCCGCGGTGCCCCGTGGCGTTCCGTGGCTTGCCGTGGTGTCCGCAGTTGCGAGGGCGAAGTCAGGACAAATGGTTATCCCCCGCCCGTCCGTCCGGCGGTGGCTCGCGGTGTCCCGCGGTGCCCCTTGGTGCCCCGTTAGGTGAGATCGAATGTGAGATCGACAGTGAGATCGATAGTGCGATCGATTGTGAGATCGAGAGTGAGATCGATACTGAGATCGACGCGGTGCCCCGAGATGCCCCGCGGTGTCCCGTGGCGTCCCAAAATGTGAGGCCGATAGCGAGATCGATAGTGAGATCGACAGGTGTCCCGTGGTATCCCGCGGTGCCCCCATGAGCGAGATCGATAGTGAGATCGATAGTGAGATCGATGTGATGTCCCGAGGTGTCCCGTGGTGTCCCGCGGTGTCCTATGCTGTCCCGTTGAGTGAGTTCGACGGTGAGATCGCTAGTGAGACCGATAGTGAGATCGAGAGGTGTCCCGCGGTGTTCCGTGGTGTCTCGCGGTGGCCCATGGTGTCCCGCGGTGCCCCGTTGCGTGAAATCGATAGTGGGGCCGACAAGCGCCCCGCGGTGTCCCGTGGTGTCCCGCGGTGTCGCGTGGCGTCCCGTTGAGTGAGATCGCTACTGAGATCGATTGAGTCAGACGTCGCCCCCCCCCCCCTGCGCAACTTCCAGATCACCCGGAGGGTGGTCGTATAGGCGTGTCGCGCCAGGAGAAAGGGTCTCGTCTCACGAAGAGTTTCGTCGCGCGGGCATCAATTTTGGTCTCGACTTGGGTCTCCCCAGGGCCCCGCGCACCTTTGCGCCGGGCTCCTCGACGCGCTGGATGGGGAGCCAGCGTCAGCAAGCAGTCGGTGGCCAACGGGACGTTCATTGCAGGGCGTTCGTGCGCGATGGGGGCCTCGAAACCCATGATGCCCTCGGCCTTGGGGGGTCTGGCCAGGGAGGTCCCGCCCCGCAGGTTGATCAACATCATCGACCTGGCGGGCCGCATCAGAGGGGTCCAGATACCGGGATCGAAGCAGCGGGGGAAGTCTGTTCTCTGGTCCAGAAGGGCACGCGGGAAGTGAAGCTCCCGATCTCCCGGGGAAAAGGCGTTTGGATGCGTTCGGATCCGAGCCTGATCCCCGGGGCCCTGGGGGCGCAGGGCCTCTGTCTCGGGCGAGATAAGTGCGTTCAGGGTCACAGGGATCTTGGATGGGGACTCGAACGGCGGCTGGCACAGGCGCGTCGGCACCCGCAGAATACGAGCCCAAGAGGCTGCAATTATGGGGTCTCGCATTGCCATGTTTGGCTCAGGCGCGGTCGTCTCCAGGATCTTTCGGGCGGCACCTCTTGCCTAAGCGATCTGGGGAACGGCCAACCAGGGTTTTTTCTGGTGCCCCACTTCGTCATATCCGCGTTCGGGCTGCCAGGTCTCCTGGAGGAGCCCAGAGGAGCCCGCATAGGCTTTCGCCCGCTTCTTGGGCAGTCCGAAGAGCTGGCGCAGGGGCCCGCCGTTGGTCACGACCGCGCTGGCCGAGAGTTCGTGCACGTCTTGTGGAGCAAGTCAGTGCCTCTGGACATTTTCCTCATCTGCTGCGTAGACGGCAAGAGGATCCTGAACTTGTCGAAGACGTGGGCTGCGGTCAAGCAGCCCGTGGCGGCGCTGATGTTAGCCATGCGGAGGCTGGGGTGGAGCCTGCGGAGTCAGGCTGGATGGAGACTGATGTTAGCCATTCGGAGGCTGCGGAGTCATTATGATGAACAGGTACGGCAGAGTGCGGTTAAGCTCTGGAATTCGGCCTGTGTTCTGGGTTCCGCTGCATGAGTTACTGCGCCAGCAGAGCAGCCCGGGCTGGCACGACCATCATAAGAACAGTTTGAAAGCAATGACTTCGAATGGCTGTTGGAGCCAGGAACGGAACAATTCGCATGCCAAAGATGTGTCCCCAGTGTGCCAGCTAAGCCACGGTGCTGCAGGAACGACTTTCCATCGGAGATTCTAGTGTCCAGCTCACTATGGCTGGAGGCGGGAGTACTTTGGCGATGCGGTGTTCAGGGGTGCCAGCAGTGTTTCGAAGCTTTCCTTGAAGGACCAGGAGCGGTTCCGCCGACGTTTGTTTCCAAATCCAGGGCGCTTCGTTCGCAGTCCCGAGGGGATTGCGGGGGACCCCTACACTATGAGGATCAATTGGCCCAGAGAGGGTTTGGCGATCCCAGCGGACCAGAATGTGTACACGGACGGCTCGTGTTTTGAGATGTTGTGGCCTTCCCTTCACGTTGCAGGATGGTCGGTGGTTGCGTCAGACTGCAATGGGGACATTGTTTCAGCATTGTACTGCGTGGTCTCACTTTCGAAAGGACCAGGTCAGATGGCAAGAGATGGAGAGGACGCTGCAGCATTGATGTCATCGGTGAACACTGTCGCGGCCCCTGGGGTCTTCTTCGGCTTCGTGGGCGTCGGAACCGAGAGCCCACTGGTGGGCTGAAGTCGGGGATCGCCGTCATGGGGTCAAGTTCGCCAGGGTGAAGTCCCACGTGCCTTGCTCTGCTGTGCGCGATGAAAAAAATGCCCCATCGAGATTCGCGGGGTAATCCGGAGGCGGGCCGTCTTGCCAAAGAAGGCTGCTCAACCGTGTAGAGCGCCCGGGGAAAACCTTCTTCTCCTTGGGGTTTGTCACGAACTGGCGAAGCGGGTTGCTAGGTTTGGGGGTCTCCGGCAGGCGCGTTTGTCGCAGGCGTCTTGTCGGGACCATGTCGGGTTTGAGTGAGTCAGCAAGGTGGTGCTTGGACCGATTCCAAGTCTACCCGTTTGCATGCTTTGCGTCGATGCGGATAGCCAGCAGGATCAACAGGGTCCAGAGGAAGAGCCTGGTGAGTTCGTGCCGTTGCCATGGATGTGGCGTGGACATGCTATCAGTCGCGCTGTAATCATGGATGGGGACATGCAAGCTGATGCCATGATTTATTGTGGTATTCGTGGACGCGCTGTATCGTGGGAGTCGGGGGTCCATGCGAAGTCTCGTTGTAAGCTCTTGGTGCACTGTGAGCCACCCGCAGAGATGGGCGCGAAGAACCTCATGAGGATCTCCACGGGCCTGCACCCGCCCCCGAGCGCGCCCTACCAAGTGCAGGACGCAGGAGGCCTGTGCGAGGCAGGGAAGGCCCAGCGGAGGCCATTCTTGGAGGCGTGCGAGGATCTCTGTAGGAGTGGGGCCTAGGTTTCGTCCGCGACTGCTTCTAATTCGGTGCTTCGTGCGAGGAGCGGGGCCCCAGGGATTGACCTCCAAAAGGGGTTTAGGCCTTTTTGGCTTCTCCGGGGA